GATTGGAAACGTCATAATAACCGATCCCGCCGTTGTGAGCAGCGGACTGGTATCGTGACGCATCCGCCTTGTACGTCAGCACAGCGTATTGTGCACAACGTCTATATTTTTCCTGCTCTTTCACTCGCAACAAGCGGTACAGCAGCGCGGAAAAAAATACTCAGCCAGGCCATGCTACGAAATTGTCACTTGAATAACGTACACGGCCAGGGAGTAGAGACCAGGTTCGTTCGAAAGGCCTCTCTCATGGCAGTATTATCGTCTCAAGGTCTCATCTCTGATTCGGGTTGCCCAAGGCGCTACGACCTCGGAAGAACGCCACTAAAGGATAAAATCACACGTCTAGCTCTGAAGCTTCAAAAGCAGTGATATCCCCACCTGGGACTTGACGGAGAAGGTTAGACTACTCCCTTTGCCTGCCAGTTTTTTTTTGGACTCTCGAGCCGTCAAATTCCACCGTTACGGTTGTACGAAAGTGCCGGCGAACGGTGATCGGTCGAGGCACAGGGCGAAGGGAGACGACAAGTAAGTGCGTAAGCTTAAAAGCTTTAACACCCTGACTGCAGACTATACCAGCAGGCAGATGAACGTAATTGCGGTAGTACTGCCTCGAAACTGATGGGAAAAAAAAACTACCTCGTGAGACTCTCCCCCCACCCAATCCACCCATGTAAATCATTAATGGGCGGTCATGCCATAGTTGCTATTCGGTTCGTAGCTGCCCTTGAAAACTTCGATATCATTGGCCATGGCCGCCATGACCCCCGCGAACTTTGGAGTTTTGTATTTCTACGGGACAAAAACAGGGAATGTCAACACGCAGACGAAAGTAAGGGTGTTGAACGCTACAACATCTGCTTGGCAATTCTATTTCGTTACATCATGCCGAGATGTACAACTGATTTGGCCCTGAGGAGAACGGACGCTGCTCGATTTCAAGCGGAGAAACTTCAAGTTTTGGAATGATGCGGACCTGTTGCTTCATCCTAGCGCAAAATTTCAAGGTTGTGTTTGGGGTGGCTACAAAGCCTCTCCGCGGGTATTACCCGATACTCTACTCTACTCGAGGCTCGGGTAGCTTTAGTTAAGCTCTCCATACTCTACTCGAGGCTCGGGTAGGTAGTAAAGCTCTCCATACTCTACTCCAGACTCGGGTAGGTTTTAGTAAAGCTATCCATTTTCTACTGTACTGGGTCGGGTACCGGTTTCGTAAACTGTACTCTCACGGTACCGTTTGTACTACCGTCGATACTCTACTCTGCCCTCGGGTAGGTTTAGTATTTCCTGCCATACTCTACTATAACGTCGGGTAGATTTAGTAGTACTCGCTCCATACTCTACTCTACAATTGGTTTAGTACTACTCCCCATACTCTACTCTGCCCTCGGACCCTCGGGTAGGTTTAGTACTAGTCTACCCTCGGTACCCTACTTGACTTGCTCGGGTATTCACCCGGGTACCTACCCGGCACCCGGCCGAAGGGCATACTTTGGAAGCAGCGGTGCAATTGCGCGTGTGTGTGCCTGCAAGAGGACAGAGTACGCAGGACGCAGAGTACTCTCGTTGCCCTGGCGTACCCGAGTACCGACCAGGGGTGGTTGTATCGGTGGGGTATCCTCTACTCTCAGAGGAGGTCGTGGTACTACTTTCCGTACGTGACTAAAAATACTATACCCTAAACACACCCTAATGTTTTCAAGACATGTTATTGCGCCCTAAAAGGTACAATCCCGCGTGATAAACACACAGCGTTATCATCTGCAGAAACACCCGCGCGGGCAAACAAAATGTAGTTCCGTCACGAGAGCGAACGACCTCCAATCGGACAGACAGTTCCTTTCAAACAAAGAAACGTCATAAAGAAACGCGCTCAGGAGCCATCTCCCGCCAACAACACAAGAAAAACTGCAATCCAAAAACAACACACGAACACAGTTCGTAAGACTCCGCGGCAGGCATGATCAATACCCGTGGCACTGGGGTCTCTATCGGCGCGATTGATCTCTTTTCTCTGCTGTTAAACGATACACACGGTTCAAAATAATAAAGGAGGGCGCTCATCGCTTTCACCACATTCAGACGGCCGTACAGCAGCAACAATAATCGAGAAGATACAGGCGCTCTCCGTGGCGCGTGTCTTGTGAGCCACCGTAACAAATAACAAGGGGGATGCGAAGAGAGAGAGCAGTTTTCAAAGGCGGGAAAATATATATGTGGACATCCGTCACCAAAGAAAGCAATGGCCGGGGAAAAAGGTGCACTACCGTGAGGAGGATTGTGTGCGCTTGCCGGCAGAGCGGGGCCGGGGGTTAGGTATATCGTGCTAGAAATGGATGCGTGTACCCGTACGAACCTTTTGTTAGGGTTGAAACCATCTGCTCTCGCGCGCCACACATCTTCCGACGGACGACCGCAGCTGGTGGTTTGGCGCAATTATGTGAATATCGATATTGAAACGGAAAACGGTGAGACAACCGACACGGAGATTGGTCAAGAAGACGGGAGCGATACTAACTCTCACAAAATAAAAAACGGTGTGCCGAACGATAAGGAGGTCGGCGCTCAAGACAACGGGAGGGATTAAAGTTACTGATCTCTTGATCGGTGCTCGTTCAGCGACACGCGCGCGCCAAGTCTGAAGACTCGTCGGAGTATGATCCTCGCTCTCTCTCGGACATTGAACACATTGGTATGTTGGACGACAAGAGGAGCAGCGCTCGTTCAGCGACGCTCACGCGCCTAAACAAAGCACACATCGTACTTTGATCCTCCCGCGTTGTCTCCCTGGTTGAAAAAACTGGTTTGCTGGATGACAGGAAGAGCGCCGCTCGTTCACCGAAACGCGCGCGCCAAAACTAAACACTCATCGCTGTTGGCTTCCCTCTATCCTGACTTGGAAATAACTGGTTGGACGAGAGGGGAATCGGCGCTCGTTAAGCGACATGCGCGCGATAAAATACACGTTGGTGTTTGAGCCTCCTCCTTTGAGGAACTGATACGTGGGGCGACGGGGGGAGAGACGCTCGTTCATCACACGCGCTCGACAAAGCGAACACATGGTGCTGTTTGATCTTTGTTGCTATCTCTCCAATTCTGCAAGAAGTGATATATGGGACGACGTGAGACGAAAGGACGAGCGGCGCTGGTTCAGTGAAACGCGCACGCGAAAACGAAACCTCCCTCTCCTGATTTGGAAGAACTTTTTTGCTGGACGAGAGGGGAAGCGGCGCTCGTTCGTCGATGCACGCGCCAAAACAAAACACACATGTCTAATTGATCCTCCCTCTGTCTCTCACCACTTATAAGGAACTGTTTTACTGGACAACGGGAGATGGACACGCGCGCGCCAGAACAAGCACTTATCGCTGTCGGATCCTTGGTCTCCTTTTCGCCTATATTGAAACACAGTTGCTTTGCTAGGCGACAGGAGGAGCGGCGCTCGTTCAAAGACATGCGCGCCATAACAAAAAACACGGCTGATTGACCATCCCTCTCTCATTTTGAAAGGACTGGTTTACTGCACGACAGGAGATGCGGGACTCGTTCAACAGTATGCGGGCGCGCCAAAACAAAACACGCATGGCTGTCAGATCCTCGCTCTCCGTCTCTCCCATCTTAAAGAGACTGATTCCCTGGACGACAGGAAAAGCGGCGCTCGTTCAACGACACGCGCACCAAATAAACACACATAGTCTATATTGCAGCCCGATCCTCGCTCTTTGTCTCTTCAATTTTGAAAGAACTGGTTTGCTGGACGACGGGACAAAGGGTGCTTATCGATACACGCGCGCCAAAACAAAACATTGCTACTGGAATCTCCCGCTCTTCCACCTTCAAATAATTGATTTGTTGGACAAAAAGAGAAGCGGCGATGGTGCACCGACACGCGCGGGCCAAATCAAAACTCAATTGCTGTTGGAACTTGCCTCTCCCATGCAGCGACACGCGCGCGCCAAGACTCAGCAAACACAGCTTGGACCCTCCCTCTCTGTTAAAAAAAAAGTTGGTCCGATAAACGACAGATGAAGCGGCGCCCATGCAGCGACACGCGCGCGCCTAAACAAGACACCCATCGCTGTTGGAACCTCCTTCTCTCCTATTTTGATGCAACTGAAGAAGCAACTGAAGTGCTGGAAGAGCGGCGCTTGTTCAGCGACGCGCGCGGGCGAACCAAAACACACATCGTTGTTGGAACCTCCCTCTCTCCTATTTTGGAACAATTGGTTTACTGGACGGCAGGAGGAGCGGCGTTCGTTCAGCGCGCACTCTACGCGAAACACACATCATGTTTGAATCTCCTGCTCTACTGATTTGAAATAAATGGTTCGCTGGATGACAGGAAGACTAGCGCCGCTCGGTCAGCGACACGCGCGAAAAACGCACACACACACACACACACACCACGCACGCTCAGTAGCGTGGTGGAAGGTAGTAGCAGCAGCAGCGGTATACTGATGGACTGACGTGGAGTCGCTGTGCACTGGAGCCTCCAGTCGCATCGGCAATGAGTGGTGTCATGAACCAAGATTTGGCACCACCATCACCCGTACCTGGACCTGCGCCACGATGCCCAACGGAAGTACGGTATTCATGCCCCCTCTGCATCAGCGAAGGATCAACGAACCTGACGGCGAGGAATCTGGCTACACACCAAAAACGTCAGCATAAAGGTCGAGGAAAAGAGCTACTACTCAGTTTGTCTCCTCCTGGATCCTTGCGCTCGAGCAGCCAGGCACCTGGTTACGCCGCATGTGGCACATGCGGCGACCTTTTCTCTCCACGCACCAAGCATTGTTGCGAACCAGGTACTACATCATCTCCATCTCTCTCTGGGTCGTTGCAGCCACCGCAAGAGGATGATGACGACAGGCGGCAACTCCTATTACCGTGGGACCTCGACGACGTCAGCAGTGCCCTGGATCAGGTTCGACAAGATACTCTTGAAACGTCAATTTTTTCGACAGTCAAACACATCGATCCGCAACTGGCGAAAGTATTTTGCAAACACTTCCAACATGTCGTCATCCTCTTCGTGCAAGCACTTGGAGCTGTACACATAGATCAGCAGAAGTCAGATACCTCAGATCTGTCTCCTCTTGCAGCGGAAAGATATGAAGTAGCACGTGTTGAAAGACAACTCCAACTTGTCCGAGCAACAAAGTTGCTTCATCTTACCCCAGCATTGCATGGATCGACTGATGGAAGGATGAACAGGGTATCCCGATTTAACCGCTTTGCAAATGGTGATCTGAGTGAACCTATCGCCTGGCTCATGATGTACGAGAAGAATCGTCGACTTCAGTATTATGCGGATACTGAAGACAATCGCCAAAGAAGAGCCACAAGACTTGCGCACGAAAGCGGAGGCGTCACTAAAGCTGCCAATGCCTTAATCTCCCCAGCACCTTCACCGCGCAACAACGACACGCTGGAGCATCTTCGCAACCTACACCCTAACGAAGATCCTGACGATATTGCTACTGCGTGGGATTCCAGCATCAAAGCTGCGGGAGATCGTATAAAAACGCACAAGATCGACTCCGTCGCCGAAGCTGATGAACCATTCGAAATCAAGTTCATCAAGCAGACGGTAAAGAAAGCCAACCCTCAGAGTGCTCCGGGGCCTGATGGTCTTCGTTTTTCGTATCTCCAAGCTGGTGGGATGAGTGATTTTTTTACTGAAACCTTGGCGGACTTCAGCTTTAAAGTCTTCTACTACGGAGACGAGCTTCCGGATTTCTTTTGGAACCTCCACACCAGTGCCAACCTTTCAGCGCTGGGAGAGAAAAAACGGCCGATTGCAGTTGGGGGGGTTTTGCGTCGCATCATCAGCGGCAGCTTCTGCCACCAGTACAAGGGAGGAATTGCGAACATCTTCGAAGCAGCAAATCAGTTCGGAGGTGGTGTTCCAGGAGGAGTTGAGATAGTGGCTTCCACAGCAGCCCTCAGCCACCAGCAAGGCAGCACCATTCTCTCCTTTGATGGGAAAAACGCTTACAACAGCATGCGCAGATCTTCCATCTTGCCAGCAGTGGCCACTCATACGCCACACTTGGCGAAGTACTTCGGGAACATCTACGCTCGAACCAAGGCGAAACTTCTGTTCAAAATGGAAGATGGTTCGATCGAGGTTGTTCTTTCACAGCGCGGAGTTCAACAAGGCTGCAATTTGGGAGGGTTTGGCTTCTGTGTAGGACTTCTTGATATCATGAAAGAGTTCAACAACAAGCCACCAGTGCCAGGAGCCAAGCTCATTGGATACGTCGACGACCTCCAAGTGCATCTTCCACCAGGTTTGGCTAGAAATATTCAGGCCATCGCCACCGTAACCAACTGGATCCAAGACCACCTGCTGCAAAAAGGCATTGAGCTCAGCCTCCCGAAATCGAAAGTCCTTTTCCCAGAAGGATTATTCTTCTCCTCTTTGACAAACGACGAACAGCGAGATTTGACGAAAACGGGTCTCTCGGTTGCTGAAGGTGGTATGGCCATTGTTGGAGTCCCAGTAGGGACAGAGTGCTTCCAGAGGAGTTTCGTCACCAACTTCGCCCGCGGTAACCCTGCTGAGTTGATACGCCGCCTTTCCACACTTGACGACCCGCAAGCGAGCTACCAACTGCTACGTTTGTCTGGCGTTCCACGCTTGTTTCATCTGCTGAGAACGATTGCACCGAGCATTACCAACACTGCCGCAAGAGAACATGACAACCTGATGATATGGGCAGTAAGCAAGATCGTTCTCGGCAAAATGGCAAACACTGTGGGAATTCCAACCGTGGAAGAGGTACGCGCAAACCCAGAGAAGAGTGAGGTCGACTTCTTCAAAGATTCAGCTCGGGCACAGGTGCACCTGCCCATACGTGAAGGGGGGCTTGGAATTACGAGCAGTGTTCTCATTCGAGAATCGGCTTTTGTGGCAGGGCAAGCATTAGTGTTCTCCAAGTCAGTGCAGGCATCAACAGGACTCACCATTGAACAATGCCTACCGCAACTTGCACAGCTACCAACAGGATTAGCTCTGATTGACTCCCTCAAGAAACTAAAAGAGATCATCACCAAAGACAAGCTCGAAAGAGCTGTTGGTCAGTCATGGACTAAACTTGTTACATCTGACGATTTAACTCCCACTCTTCGAGGGGTTTATCTCATGGAGGCCGGGAAGGTAGTAGCCGAGAGACAAAATGGAGACGACAACCCTGACGAGGAACCACCATCTCCGTCGACATGCGGGCGAAATGAATTTGGCCGGTACTATCAAGTCTTCGGAGCTCAAGCCGTCCTGTCGAAGCCCCTTCATGCAGCAGTCCGCCATATGGTAGTAACAGACTTGAAAAAAGCAGGATCCCAGGAAACCTCAAAGAAGAGAGCCTTGATTCGCTTGGAGGAAGCAAAAGACAAGGGGGTTCTATCATGGCTGACAACGCAGGGGCTTTCGATGGATGAACGGATGCTACCTGACCTCTATCGAGAATCGATCGGTCGTGTACTGGGGAGTCACGACCGAACTGACTACGATACAGGCAGACTTTGCAGCGCAGGTGCATTGTCACCGTGTATGGAACGGTTGAGCCGACCCCATTCCCTGGTCTGCGCGAAGACCGGCGCCTCAACCTTCCTGCACAATAGGATGGTTCGCGTGCTGTTAAAGACATTACGCGAATGCCACATGCCAATCGCTGTTGAAGACTCTTCCCCATATACTACAGGCACTGGTAGGGGAAGAGGGCTCTACAAGATGGATTTAGTGATCCCCCCAGGATTACACGCAGGAGATAAAGAAGAGGAACTCTGCACCAAATCCATCCTTATAGATGTCACAGTCGTCAATCCATCTGCTAGGCGAAGTATCGACAAGTCACTCCAAACGCCAGGATCCGCCCTCGAAGATCGAGCTGCAAGTAAGGCAAAACACTATGCGGGAACTTTCAACCCGTCTAGATCTACCCTCCTTACTGCTGCTTTTTCGACGTATGGTGGTCTTGGCAAAGGCACCAATCGACTTATCGTAGCTATCGCCAACCACTTGGCATACGAAGCCTTTTGCAAAGGGAATTTCGCCGACGAAACAGCCTTGATTCGCCTGAAGGCTTTTCATACGAATAGGATTCGGAGACGATTTACTTTCGAGCTGGCTCGTTTCCTGTCCGTACGAACTCGTGATGTTTTTAAACGTCATGGACTGCTCATGGATCAATTTCCACCCCGGCCAATAGGTTGGGATTTCGATAGTAGTACAAACGAAAACGATCATCATGATGGCGATGAGGGAAATTCGAGTGGCAACGATGAAGGAGGAGGAACAGAGGGAACAAGAGGAGGACAAGACAGAGACCAAGACAGCAGTCGAGAAGGGAATCATGGCGTGGAAGAGAGCAAGAGCTTCGAGCCAGAGGACCTCCCGCACAACAAAAGACGGAGAGACAGACAAGAAGAAGAGCTGCCAAAAAGTTGCTGCCAAAATGACGATGAGAATAGTGATGGTAGTAGTGGTGAAAGCAAGAAGAATGATAGAGAGAGCACTCCTAAACGAAGTCGAGTGCAGGGTGACAGTCTTAGTAGACACGTGCAGTTTTCTTCTGTTATTACTACGGTATCTGTCTTTAATCCTGAGAATAGCGTAGCTCCCCCTACGACGCTCGGTCCCGGGGTCCCAGATAGTGGACTATAGAAACATTTTGTGTTTCCCGCCGCACTGAGACTGACGTCTTTTCATTGGTCAGCCGGTTAGCGCGGTCGATGCTAATAATAAAAGCACACACACACACATAGCTGTACGATCTGCTCTCTCTCCTATTTTCAAAGAACTGGTTTGCTGGACGGCAGGAGGAGCGCCGCTCGTTCAACGATACGAGCGCGCGACAAAACAAACACATCGCTGTCTGATCTTTGCTCTCTCCAATGCTCTTCAGCGACACTTGCGCATAAAGAAAACATGCGTAGGTGTCCGATTCTGCTCTCCTCCTACTAAGAACATGTGGTTTGCTGGACCACAGGAAGAGCGCCAAGGAAAGCACGTATCGCTGTCCGAACCTTGCTCTCTCTCTATTCAAGGACTGGCTGGATGACAGGAAGAGCGCCGCTCGTTTAACGATACGCGCGGGCAACAAATCGAAACACACATCGCAGTCATATCTTTGCCCTCTCCCATTTCAAAAAACTTGTTTGCTGGATCACAGGAGGAGCGGCGCTCGCCCAACGATACGAGCGCGCGCCAAAATAAAACATCACTGTCCGATCCTTGGTCTCTCTCTCCTAGTTTAACAGAACTGGTTCGCTGGACCACAGGAAGAACGCCGCTCGTTCGGCAACGCGCGCAAAAAGAGAGCACCTGCTGTTGTCCGATCTTTGCTCTCTCCTATTTTAAAAGAGCTGGCTTTCTGGACCTCAGCAGGAGCGGTGCTCCTTCAACGCTACGAGTTCGCGCCAAAACAAACACGCATTGCTGTCTTGTCTTTGCCATTTCTCCAATACCAAAGTAACTGATTTGCTGCACGACAGGAGCGGCGGTCGTTCAATGATACGAGGGTGCGCGAAAACACATGCACACCACCGTGGTCTCTGCTTCCTCCAATTTTGACAGATTTGCTGAACGATAGGTGGAGCGGCGCCTGTTCGACGAGACACGCGCGCCACAAAACTAAACACACATCACAGTCTGATGTTTGCTCTGTCCCTCCAATTTCGAAATGACTGGTTTGCTGAACGAGAGGAGCGGCGCTGGTTCAACGATATGAGCGTACGCGAAAAAAACCGATCTTTGCCATCTCCCTCTCGGTTTAAAAAGAACTGGTTTGCTGGACGAAGGAAGAACGCCGCTCGTTCAACGACACGGGCCCGAAGAAAAGCATAGCTGTCCGATCTTTGCTCGCTCGCTCTCTCCAATTTTGAAAGAACTGGTTTGCTGGACGATAGGAGGAGCGGCGCTTATTCAACGACACGCGCGCGCGACAAAACTGAACACACATCGCGGTTCGATCTTTGGTCTCTCTCTCCAAGTTTAAAATATCTGGTTTGCTGGTTTGCAGGACCACAGGAAGAGAGCCGCTCCTTCAGCGACGCGCGCAAAAAAAGGCACCCATGGTTGTCCGATCTTTGCTCTCACTCTCTCTTCCTATTTTGAAATTGAAACAACTGGTTTGCTGGACTACAGGAGGAGCGGCGCTCGTTCAACGACACACACGAGCGCGCGCCACAACAAAACACGCATTGCTGTTAGATCCTCCTCACTGGCTTGCCTAGTTTGAAATTTGCTGGACGACAGGGAAAGCTGGCTCGTTCAACAACACGTGCGCCAAAGAAACACGCAGTGCAGATGTAATTAACCCTCGCTCTGCTCTCTCTCTTTCCCATTTTCATAGAACTGGTTTGATGGAAGACAGAAGGAGCGGTGGCGCTCATTCGATATGCGCGCCGAAACAAAACACACATCGCTGTTTTAACCCTCGCTCTGGCATTTTTGAAATAACTGGTTGCGAATGAGCGCGCGAGACGAAACACAATGTTGAACATCCTCACAGCATTGTCAGATTAATGCAATCATTGAATTCACTGAAGAGACGGAGCGGAGTATTTTGGGGGTTCAGCGTTTGTTATGGATTGGGTTTGGAGGCACCATCTTTGCCTCTTATTATTTATTGCTCTATGGAATGCCTCTGCAACGGATTTGTGTAGTGGGTTTTTCGTGTTCTCAGTGTCAATTCAAACCCTTTTCCCGGCTAGCAGGCCACGGGCTATCACGCCCCCAAGCACTCCACGGCGATCACGCCACCAGGCTGTCACGCCTGCCGGTTATCATGCCACCAGGCTACAACGCCTTTCGCATTATCGCACCTCGAGCTATCACGCTCCATCACGTAAATTTCAAAGGGCGGGTTGCTACACCCTTGAAGTTTTTCCGGTCAGCGGCTACGACGCCACTGGCTCTACAATTCTAGGAGAGCGCCACAGGCACAGATTCACTCAACGCGCACATCGCAGTTTGATCCTGCTTGCGCTCTCTCCAACGAAAATACAAGAGCGCTCTCGTTCAACAATCTTCGCGCGTCAAGTCTGAAGAAATTTCGCAGTTTGATTCTCGCCCTCTCCGTTCAAAGTGTTTGTTAACTCGCTCTATAAAGCAGCACTACAAGCGATTTCGTGTTGGTGTGTCCGTGCGTATACGCGAACAAGTCAGTCGCCTTTGTGAAAATAATTCTCACCTCCTGCAGCCCCACTCCACACCGTCACGCTCCACACGTCACCAGTTCGAGAGCTCTCTCCTCTCGTGCCCTCTTTCGCGGTTGAGTGGGGTTTCACGACCTGTACGTTGGGATTATGGCATCGAAGAATCAGCGTTTGACTCAAGCCGCGAATAATCTTTAGGTTTTGCACCTCGTTCGTCAACGCTCTGCGGCGTGGTCACACCTGCCTCTCCGAACGAGGGCATCTACACACCCGATCACCGTATATTGTACACACGGAAAAAACAGAGGAGCACGGATTACAGGCAACGGCAGAGAAGCCATCTCATCAGGCCACGCGCCGAATTTCACGGGGGCTGCCAATGCGTTCCATCTCGCATACTCGTCATCTCTCCACCCCTCTCCGGTGCGCACCGATACCACACAAAGCGCTGCGGCCTGGTTACACCCTTACCCACCACAAGAGGGCATGTTCGACCACCCTATCACGGAAAGACTGTTTGCGGCCTACGCCACTTATTTATCGGGTGAGACTGTTTTGGTGATGTA